GGACTTCTTGCTTAGCAAGGCCCGTGATGAGCAGCCTGGTAGGCTCGGCGCTCCGCAATGGATTTGCTGAAGAGACACTTCGCAAAAAAGTTCTGTCTCATCCAGCCGGCCACTGCGGTCCTCCAGATTGAGGCTGTATTCTCATTGGCTCGACAGAGGCTACCTCGGTAACTGACGTCCAAAGGACCTCCATCATTCCTTGCACTTGCAAACTTAAGAGGGGTCTCAAATTCAAAACTTCTGAACCTTGGTGCGTGAGCATGAGGATTGGTATTGTCTCTTCCCTTCTCCCACAGCACTGGTTCCTCGCCTTCTGTAGACTGAAAAAGTCTGGATGCCCGACAATCATTTCCACAAGGCTGAGAGAAATAATCGTCCTCCATCTCCCGTGCACGGTCTGGTAGCGTCACACGAGGTTCTGCCTCTGTTGCTGCCAGGACTACATTGCCGCCCAGTAGATTCATCAGCAGACAAAGGCCTTTGCCTTGTAGTCCACGTTTCTGGCTGGCTCTTCTCTCTTTGTGGGTGAGTCTTCTTCTTGTTGTTGTCGCGCTCTCTTTCGATCAAAATCATGACCTCCACCAAAAGACAAAAAGCCAAATGACATAGACCCATCCAAATCTTGTTCCAGAGGCCATAATGACACTCAATCGGATCCAAAAATTGGGTCAAAAAGCCGATTGTCAACACCAACCAAATTCCACTTCCTGTCGTCCAAGACACAGTCCTGCCCCAGTTCCGGGTGTACCTTTTCCTCATAGTCCGCCATCATGCTGAGGGGCAACCACATGCCCGGGAACACGACAATCCATGCATTCTGAAAAAGAACGTGGCCAGCACCTTGGAAAATGAAAGCAGCGTCAAAGTTCCACCGCTCCCCTCTCATGGATTTCCTCCTCTAGTTGTGACACATCCTCCTGGTGCTTCGTCAACTGCGCCTGCAGATGTGTCTTCATATTGCTTTCGAAGTTCTGCCAGGCCTCCTGCTTGTCTTTGAGTCTTTTGCGGAGCTTCTCTAACTTGACTGTAATCTTCTTGCGGCTGTTGAGCAGTTTCTACTCCTCCTTGATCTCTCTGAGTGGGCCTGTCTGCCAGATCTCCTTCAAGGAAGAACTCGGTTCTATTCTACTCTGCTGCAGGCACTTGAGTACCTCTTGCTTCACAGCCTCTTCCAAGACGATTTGGCAGCCGCTGAAGACGAAGACGAAGAGCCCTGCTGCGAAGCCTTCCTTCTCCGCCCTGTCTTGAGCTCTTTTGTCCTTGCCCTTCTCTCTCTTCTTCTCCTTTTCTTTGGTGGCACCCTTCGGAGCTCCACTCCATGTATTCCATTGTATTCCACCATGAATACCTGCTCTTGCCTTTGCCTTCTGGCCATCCCATCTGTTGACCGTGCAAAAACTGTTGAGCCACTCTTCTGCTGTGGCTTTAGGCAGTGGGTAGCCTTCTTTACTTTTCTCAGCGCACTCCTGGCCACTTGCCGTTTCGATCGCAGCCTTCGGTGCCACGAGGGGCTTTTTGCCCTGGGAATCCTATTCCTCCTCACGTAAAGTTCTCCCCCGCCAACAAAACTATTGCGCGAGAGGACGCGAAACCCAGCAACCGTTCGAACGTGTATTACGTTCTGGGGCCCGTCGCGTCGTATAGACTTACTTTGAGCCCGACGTCTTTAAACATGCAAAAGTAAAAATTCGACATAGTACAATTTTGTCGCAGTATTAAGTTGTGCTACGTCGACGAATATTTTTGTCACGTCGACCAGTATTCACGCAACCCGCGCGCAGAGTTAAGATAGAGTTAGAGCATCTTCCACACAGTTAAGATGGAAAGGAAAAAAGAAAAGGATAGAAACCCGGAAAAGGAAAAGGGCCGGGACTTGAACCGTACGCCTTTGTCGCAGTATTAAATTTGGCTACGTCGACGAATCTTCGTCACGTCGACCAGTATTCACGCAGCCCGCACGCAAAGAAGAGTTAAAACAGAGCCCCAAAATGTTCAACTGTTCTGTTTCGGGCTTTAGCTTGGGAGATCACAGTGTGCGTGCAACACGCGCGCGGAGTTAAGACAGGAGTTACGACAGAGTTGAGACAGAGTTGAACATTTCCCACGCAGAAAAGAAAAGGAAAAATGCGGGAAAGGAAAAAAGGAAAAGGATAGAAAAACCGGAACTGGAAAAGGATCGGGGCTTGAATCTAGCGTTTTTGTCGCAGTATTCAATTTTGCTACGTCGACAAATATTTTGTCACGTCGACCAGTGGTCGCGCAACCCGCGCACAGAGTTAAGACAGAGTCAGAGAATTTTTCACGCAGGTAAGACACGAGGAAAAAAGAGGGAAAGGAAAAAAGGAGAAAGATAGAACGCTTTCACTTTCACTACGACGATCGCTCGTTTCGGCGCTTTACCAAATTCCCACGTTTTTGGCATGAAATTTTGCTACGTCGACGAATATTTTTGTCACGTCGGCACCTTCCCCGTGAAAGAAAGAGTTCAATATCAAATTCAAAAAAACGATTTTACTAGAAAACCCGTTGTGATTTCAATATAGATATTTAGGTTAGGTCATAAGGAGTAGAGATTTTGAAAGAGGAGGCATCACGATAGACATGTCTTTCATTGTTTTGCTGCTGGTAGAGATTTCAACAAAAGAGGCATCAGGATAGACATGTCCGCTGAAATTAAACAGAGCGGGAGGAGGTGCGGGGAGGGCGCAGCGCCTTCCCCGCAATGAACAAAGTATAGAATCTCTTCCTGCTTTATGACTTATCTACTATTGTAATCTATTTTGAAACCTCAACGGGTTTTCTAGTAAAATGGCTATTTTTCCCCACATCACTATGTGGGGTTCTAGTTTTTCGCTCTGCAACCGCCGCTCCGCCTCCCGCCGCCGCCACTCATCTGACACCACTCATCCTACCCCACTTACACCACTCAACAACTCATCTTACACCACTTACGCCACTCAACTCACACCACCTATCTTGCACCGCCTATCTCACACCACTCAACTCACAGCACCCATCTTACACCACTCATCACACACCACTCATCATACACCACTCTTTTCTGCAGTCTCTACTTCTCGTTGATAGTTCTTACAAGCTTAACATGTGGGGTTATCCGGTCCTTTTATTATGAATTGTACTCTCTCTCTCTCTCTCTCCCTCCCTCCCTCCTTTGATGAGGGAGGCGCTGCACTATGCTTTGGGTTCATTGCGGGGGGCGCTGCGCCCTCCCCCTCACTCACCCCCTCCCGCTCTTTTTTGTTTCAGCCCCCCCTCCCGCTCTGTTTGCGCATTATAAAGCTGTTTTTCGTTTCTGTTTGTCTTTCTGTTTTTCTGGGAGGGGCCCTAGCTTTGAGAATGGGGCTCAGCTCTGTCTAGGGCAAACCGGTCCATACCAAAAGAGCACTTGACCCAGGAGCACCAGCAGCAAAGCAATGGATGACATTTCTATCGTGATGCCTCTTCTATCGAAAGATTTTCATGTTTATCATTCTATTCAAATTGAAATCTCAAGGGGTTTTCTAGCAAAATTGTTTCTTGACAACTTTTATATTGAACTCTTTCTTTTATAGACATGTCTTCCATTGTCTTGCTGCTGGTGCTCCTGGGTGAAGTGTGTTTTGGTATGGACCGGTTTGCCCTAGACAGAGCTGAGCCCCATTCTCAAAGTTAGGGCCCCTCCCAGAAAAACAGAAAGACAAAGAGAAACGAAACACAGTTATATAATGCGCAAACAGAGCGGGAGGGGGGGGCTGAAACAAAAAAGAGCGGGAGGGGGTGAGTGAGGGGGAGGGCGCAGCGCCCCCCCGCAATGAACCCAAAGCATAGTGCAGCGCCTCCCTTGTCAAACGAGAGTTTAATGTAGAATTCAGAAAAATAGCGATTTTACTAGGTTTCGTCGCGCAGCGAATATTTTTGATTCAGTACATACAGTTTTTTTTGATTCGTTATAGATTTTTATTGATTCGATAATTTTTCTTGATGCCTATGCCCCTGCCGGAACCCTGCTTCCGTGCGTGGCAACTGTGCTTTGAGACGCCGAAAATCGTCTTGGCACGTTGACGGTACTTTTGTATACTTTTGGTATGTTGACGGCACGGACCCCATACCGACCCAGGCAATTTCATTCGCAGGGATTCGGAACGTTGTGTTGCCCTCTATACATGACGCTTTGCACAGTCACATCGCTCTTTCGGAGCCTCGCTCTAAAACAGCTCTTTTGGCAACGGCCGCGTGAACTTCGGTGTCAACAGCCCTTAAGCCAGGTCAGGGGCCCACAACGGGGGGGTGGTGGTTGTTGTTGTGGTGGTGGCTCTGGTTGGCGTTATTATTGTTATTGTAGCCCGCATAAAACAAAGAAATGCAAATAATGTGTGCCAATCCACACAGCATCCCTTACACTTGCAACACCTCTTGACTGGTATGTGTCACAGTAGAGCTATGCAGGTATCAGGACACGGTGCCGGATTAAAAAATCTAGACACATCTCTGCAAAGTGCAACTCCATTCCCAAACCCAATCAGCTTGCACAATTTTCATCGCGGTTCAATTCTTTTTCGCTCTTGATTGCCAGACCAGAAATGATCAAAAACAGTCGATCCATCTACGATTTGGTCAGCATCTTCATCTGTCTCATGGTTGTGCATCCCCTGCCTCTATACCTGCCCTTTCTGTGCACCCTTTTTCTTTTTTTGGCCGAATGGAAAAACATGTGGGATCGGGATCCGAGCTTTCGAGCGGCCGACTTGGGCACGGGGCCCGTGCTCAAATCCCACTAGATGGAGGCGGAGTCCAATCCTTGTCTTTCTGGGTTCTAATAGCTTCTTGTTGCTACTAGTAAGGCACTTGCTCCTAGTAGCGATGCACTTGTTCCTAGTAGCTTCTTGTTTCTAATCGCTTTTTCCGCTTTGCACCTTACTGAGGTTCCTCTCACCTCCATTTATAAGGGTGAGACTTCGTGCGAAGCTTCTCATCTCCAGCTTCTTCGGTGTTTTCGGGCGCTACTTGGACTCCTCGCTGTCACTCCCAGAGAATCCATTGACCTGATGAGGATCGGCCGTGCTTTCGATGGAAAGCGCCGGAGAATTCTTTGAAGTCGGCCAAAAGCGGCGCAGGTATGTTATGGTAGAGTGAGAGTCTACTCAGCTTCAGTAGACTCTCACATCAAGCATCCCCAAGCTTTCTCAAACGGCCCAGCCTCGTCATCTGTGTCCGTGTCGTCTGTGCTGTCATCTCTTTTAAAGTCAAACCTGAAAGCTGTGGTTTGGTGAGTGTGAACTGCATCAGGAAACCGTAATTTTTGTTTTGAACCTTCTTGGTGCAGGGCTTGCCCTAAACAGAACTGCTCCCGACCCTGCCGAACAACGAGGCTGCACCTTCAATCCCATCGATACACCGTTATGGCTCAACTGACTAAAAAGATCTGCAAGCAATCACCTTGTGATCTCTATGCCTGGAGTGTTTCCTTTGCAGCGCGCTAAGCTCCACGCCCATTTGCTGCCGCTCGCTCTGACCTTCGCGAAAGCAGTCCACCTGGCGTCAAGCACAAGGGCATACACACATCAAGTTCCTGTGCAATCCAAAGTGGCTGAAAAAGAAGGAGGTTGAACCTACCCCTCCTACCGCTACTACTGCCACTACTCTTCCTGCTGTTGCTGCTGCCGCTGCCATAGCTGTCCCTATCACTACGAGGACGACAGCCACCGACTATAAATTTCACTGCCCCTTGTCCTCCCCACAAACTGCAAGACCTTTTCGAAAGCGGAAGACTGCGCCGCGACTCGCCTCTCAGGTGTGCTTGGCGCAAGCATCCGAGAACGGCCATTAATGCCAGGGATGCGGTGGCCTCAGCTGCTCGTAACAGAAAAGCGTCTTCGGAACACCCTATACATTCCGCAAGGTGTGCCAGTTTTGTGGAAGATTGCGAGTATATTTTTAAAGAAGAATCAAGGGCAACATTGCTGCCATGTTCAAGCCGGGCTGCAACTCCAAGGAGGATGTCAAACCTGATGACTAGGACAGCACAGTCGGCAACATCAAGGAACATGGTCTGCATGGCGTCTGAATTTTGCCATGCCATATCATCGTGAGAGTTCAATGAGCTGGCCCAAAAACCTCCCAATGATGTCCCTTTGCATCCTCTCTCTTGAACCATCAGTGGATTCGGCCGAGAAACTGCGCTTCATCTTCAAAGCAAATCTCTCGGCCCTGTTCGTCCAAGCGCCTCAATCGCCAAAACCGGAGGATCGTGTTGCACCAAGGCTTCACAGGCCAGGCAAACCCTCTTACAAGCAATGGCCTCCAACCCAGTAGCAATGGCCTCCAACCTACTTGGGCATTTTCGTTTACAATCATTTACAAGGCTGTGACACCTTATCGAACATCACTAGGTCGTCGCAAACATGACATCTCACATCTGCGGACATTTCAATGAGAACACGCCCACCGTTTCACAACTCGTAACGGTGGAACATGCAAACAAGACGAAGAACGACTGAAGAATGTATCATCCTACCTGTCTCCTGTCTCCTGTACCTGTCGAGTGTCCCCGACCTGTGAAATCCTGGATGCAAAAGCCTACAGCCTGACAGATCAACGGTTTTCTGCCCCACCCGCGTCTGAGAAAACTGAGACCGCGCGGTCAAAACCCACGAACCGTCTGCAGTTGCGTTGCGTGCAGCAAATCCCCTTCTCTTCCTTGGCAGCCTCCCAAAATGTAAAAAAGGACACTCCAAGGAAAGAAAAAGGAGGCAGAACGCACATTTTTGATGTATTTTCAAAGAGTTTGTGCGAAACAATTGTGGCAAAGGCAGTGGAGTTTCACACATTCAGCTCAACTGCTCAGTTCAAGCAACAGGCTGAAGCAAGCAGACGCAGAATCAGAACTGAGCAATGCTGAAACGCGAAGAACAAGCTTTTAAATGTGTCACTGGCCTGAACCACCAAAGAGGCACGGGGCCATGAGCCACATTGAGAATATTTACCATCAGAGCTCCAGTCCTTGGACGATTTCACAGATCGACTGATCGACTCGACCAATTTCCAACCTTCTGGGTTCGTCCCAAACCCTGTTCTCCAATCTTCGAGAATTGCGACTGCTATGTAAGGTTAAACGTTCATGCCCCAAATGTCCGACTCCTATCAGCTACCACTCCTTTGGACGAAAAGGAAACACCTGTTCTCCGCAACTGGCTTCACTGCGGTCGACCGTCTTCTTTCCAAGGATCGATGTCAGAGCACGCCTGTGAAACCTGAGATCTGCTGGACAAAAAGACTGACCAAGGCCTTCGTTTTGAAATGCGATGTGAAAATGTCGTCGTTTCGTCGTTTCTGAAACCAAACATGGCGACGTTTCTCGACACTCTTTGTGCTTTGGTTCTGACTGTCTCGCGTCATCTCTCCAAGCGTCTCTCTCGATGGTCTCCTTGCCCATGAGCCAGTTGCGGCAAAGCTTGGTAATCAAAGCCTCAAGCTTAGGCGAACTGAGGCTCGAATCTGGCACACACCTCGGTCGCGCAGCCCGAGAAGGTCGTCCGGTGGGACCCACGTTTCGATGCGAAGTTATCCGGTACCTCACCTAGCGATCTAGCGACCTAGGGACCTAGGAAAACAAACACACACATTTGACTGTTTGACATCGTGATTTTCAACTCTTCCGCCAAGGCTCGTCTTCTCATCCCACTGATCGGTCTTCTTTGCCTCGGTCTTGCTCTGACCTGCACAGTGCGGATTCCGCGAATCCGAATGACTCTGTTGACGGTCGTGCTTTGCATCACCCCCTCAGTCTGAGTCCATGGATTCACGGATTGAATTTCTTTTTTCATCCCTTCCATTCTGGAATCATACCAAGCGTGTTCACAAATCTCCATGGGGGACTCTCAACTCTCCACATGACGCTGGCACCTCCGCTTTCCACACTGCAAAAGGGACCCTTCCAGCCATCATGGCACTGGCAGCGACCGTCTCCAGTTCCCACGGGGCTGAAGCGATGTAAACCTTCAACGGTCTGCCTCAGCACAATCGCCCATCTTGAAAGAAAAATAAGCGCAACGAGTTGGACCAAGATGCCATGGCGCATCCCATGGGCGATTGATCTCAATGCACGTGCCTCACAAAATTCATCAACACAATGAAACGCCCAAAATGGCCAAACATGGTGCACTTGTGGGTGTGAGAAATCCACAAGTGGTTTCATTTTTGGACCTAACAGAATCCCAAACACATTTTTGATCATTTTTGTTGAGGCAAACCCTCCATAGCCCTGCGAAGAGCGATCTGCACGGATCTGCACCCTGCCTCGCCCGCAATTGTCATGCGTGGAATTCACGAAGCACGGACCACCTCCCACAAGTGTCAGCTCCTGTCCAAATCTGACCATCAAAAAAAAATGGACATTGAGTAAGCAGCAAGCCGCTTAGCCTCATAAGTACTCATAAGGCAAAGCACGTCCATTGCGTCTCTCCAGTTCTTATGAGGCGGTTTCTTTCTTATCAGGCAGTTCTTATGACCTCATAAGGCACCAGTTCTGTTTTTGACAAAAAAGCACGACCGACCGGTTCTCCAGCGGTCGGCAGCGGAGGGCCGCCCCGGCCATGCGAGCGAGGCAGCTGGGACCCGTCCAGCCGTTGGTACATTTGCACACGCCGTCCGAACAAGCGCCGCTCCCTGAGGGGAAGGAGGTGAGGGGATCAGGTGTGACATCAGGAGGTGCGGGAGGACCAGTTGCAAGGACCGGTTATGGTAAGAAAGGCTTTTAAGAGAGGAAAAACCGAAGAAAAGTGGCCACGATCTGGTTCGTCTAGTCAGTCTAGTCAGTCGGAGAAAATCTCCAAGACCTAGAGGCTTTTGGCAACTTCTCTAGTCTTCGGTTCCTGTGGCCGCTGGAGTTGACCGCACTGCCTGAGTTGGAGCCGCAGTTGGCATCTGTTTGACACCGTCCTCCACCGGCATACACCGGCCTCAGAGCCCAACACGGGACGCTGCGCGGCTTCAACGGGGGCCAACAAACATGGACAAGCATACAAGCCGGTATCTTCTTCATCTGAAGCAGTCCGGACCCCTCCAGAACTCCAAAGCGGTCTGAAGTTTGTCAGGCGAAGGGCTGCAGCGGTGCATCGAAGTTGGGTAGCACATATCGAGAACGCTGAGTGTCGATCCACCCTTGTGTTGGTGCCACCTGGTGAGTCCGCCCCGTACGACGACGAAAACAAGATGAAGCATCACGGTGGTGTCTCGTTGACGACATGAACCCCCAGATCTTGCTGAATCACATCATGAACCCTCTCAAGAGACATACTTCTTAAAGGAATCACATCCTCTTTCAAACAGGCTTCTCTCGGTCTGTTTCCACTGGCCTTAGGTGAGCACCCTTGGCGATCTTCAGCTTGTTGATCCTATGGGGAAGGACACAGAACACCATGTCGCCATTCTCCACTTTCGAACCATGATCTACCAGCCATCTAGGAAACAAATCATTAGTGCAAGCGTGAGCTCTCCGAGCTATCCTGCGTCCGTGTCTAGTAGCTGTAGCCAGCTCAAGTAGCTAGTACAGTAGCTTAAGTAGCTCTTGAAGTGTCCTTCGTCTGGAAAACTCGGATGTAATCCACCTCGTAGGTGGCTGGCAAAGTCCTGGCGAAAACACGTCCTCATCATATGAAAAGCGCAGCACTGTGCTTTGAACGACACCCGATTGACCCAATTTGAGGCTAACTAGAAGCCACTAGTAACAAAGGGCATCGCTACTAGGAGCAAGAAGCTACTAGTAGCAAGGCCATCGCTAGTAACAACGAGCCCGGCGGAGCCACCAGAGGACGGAACCACCCCCGACCTACACAGCTTGTGCAAATATTCATTGCCGCCGCCTTTCCTGGGAAGAAAAGGATGAAAAAGGATCAGGATATGTGTTTTCAGTTGTTCAACATCAATGCCACGTGCCAACATGAATAGCTCTTGTGGATGTCTTTGCACTTGCGATGCGTTCAGGAGGAACTGTCTCGGGTGCCTATGTCAAACAAATGCGTGCCAAGGATCTCCAACATACAAGACACACATTCAGGCTCACCACAGTCAAGGCAGCAACCACAGTCCCCTCCACAATTCTGCTCGATAATATCCTCGCTCGGCCCGCATGTTTTCACCAAATCCAACGTGCTCAAACGTTCTACTGGAGAAAGTCAAAGCATGCTCACCGCTCACCTGTCTGGTGGCCCCTCAACAGGCCTTGAGAACATGTTGTGGCAGGAAGTTGTGTGGCTACTAAAAAAATCAGCCTATGCCACAATCAGTCTTGGCCAACTTCGAAAGTAACATCTGCGACCTTCCACTGTGCAAAAGTCGAATTCTGCGCCCTTGTCTGTGTAGGGCTGGATGTATCTTGACACACATCAATGCCAACTCTGTCCTGGATAGGTGACCATGTTTACCAATGCGAGTCACATAGAACATGGTAAAAATACAAGAACATTGAAAACATGGAACTCGTGAAAGGTCAAGATAGGTTTCTACAGGGTGCGACATGGGTCCATCTGAATATTGTGTGACTCGATTTGCCAAACTCTTCACAATGCATAACAAATCGGTCTTTTATTTGTTCACTCTTGGTGCACCCAAGGTGGCTGATGAAGACGCTGCGGCTTTCGTTCGCTGAGGCCCAAGCCCAACCCCATTGCTTGGACACATCAATGTTCAGGATCATCGATACAGGCCTTGGAAGAGGTTTGGAAGAAGACCGGCCGCTCCAAAATGAGCCACCAGCGCGACCCGTGCATCAGCCAAAATCGCGCACATGGCTTGCTTTATTCAAAGACAGCGGGGTTTTCAGGATGTCTCTTCACTTGGCGTTGCCATTGGCACCTCCGAAGCAACATGATCGGTGCCACTAAGGAACTCAAGGAGCAACTGCCGTGCCAGCAAGGTTCCCATGGGCTCGCCATCCTTGGTGATGGCCTCAGATTGCTTTGGATGCCGGTCTACTGTGTAGGCTTTGGTGGCCAACCACTTACTTTACAGGGAGGACCCCCACCGACGTAGCGACACACGCATTTCTCTCTTGGTGCTGCCAACCTCCGCAGATGCTAGCTTCGAGCATTGATTGAAGCATTGAAGTTTTTGAGCAGCAGCTCCACTGCTTAGCCATAAGGCTTAGCCGCAAAATTCCGTCGCTGACATTCCAGGTCAAAACCTGGCCTGCACAGCAATGGGCCTTTGCATGCTCCATTAGGAAGAGAGCTTCAACTCGAACAGTCTCACAGAACTTAAGGCCACAGAGTGGAAAAATTAAAAAAGGTGCGCTAAGGCACCCAAAGTACAAGGGAAGTCCAGATCAATCTGGGCTGCCCAAAAAGCAAGTGCCAGCACAAATCGTTCTTTGCAGATTCTGCAAGGACACCTGGCTTTCCTTGCCTAGGAGGCAAATTCTTCTCAGATGGATGCCTGCAATGCTGGTTCGTTTCACCGATCATGATTGTTTTCAGTCTCAGCATCTTCCGATCGATAATTGTCTTTATCAAATTCTGTCTGGTTCAGTCCTCGTTCGTCTCCTGCGTGCTTGCTCCAGTCGTGGTGTCAACAGGCCCAGCCACCCATCCCATTTTTTGGAAAAGAACGTGTAGCGCAAAGAACACGGTGGCCAAAGACCATGAGATGGACCAACGCCATCCGTTGTTGTATTCATGGTCCTGCAGCTTTTTCTTGGTGTGGATATGCTCATGGACTGGATGTGCTCTGGTGTTGTCTGAACATTGATGTTTCGCTCCTCCATGCCGTAGAAGCCAATCTTCTCGTCACCTTCTGTAGGTGGCACTTCATCATTGGCCTAAATCCACATCAACACAGGAAAGATCCCAATTCCAAAAATTGCATTTGTGCTCTCAACATCTCTAAAATCTCTCAGCTTACGCTCAGCCGTGACGAGCGACAGCATTGTGGGAAGCGAAGAAGCCAAATAGCGAGAGGAAAATCGCCACGAAGGAAAGCAAGGTAGCCTTCAAAGGCGCACGAATGGAAATGACATGAAGGATCAAGGGCGATCAGATGTCAAGTGGGTCAGCTAGCTTCATGATTTCCTATCTCCATCTGTTTGCAGCGGACCTTCCAAAAGTCGCGGTCGATGCACAAGCAGAAAAGCCACGTGAGAACAACGCTGAACCTCAAAGAACACATTTGCATTGGATTTGTCAAAGCTTCTTTGGCAATCTTTCACAAACATCAACCAGCTATGCTAAATGAGCTATCACGTCAGGGCACATAAGGCCTCCGGCTTGACCCATCATCAAAACACCTTCATTGCTCATGCTGAGCTTGGCCCAATTGCAGATGTATGGGAAAAGGCTCAGCAACAAGGCTGGATAATGTCGTGGCGGCGTCTCTTCAAATGCTTGACGGCCCAACAGCAGTCCAACAAAGACTAGGATGGAGCCGCCGGCACACTCCGGAATGGACTGGTACAAGGCAGCAAACAATCCAGACAAGAGCCTCAGGATGTCATGATCATTTCATGAACAGCAATGCAAAAGCAATCCATTTCAAGATTTGTTGCATTGAATCAGGAATAGGACAGGATGCAGGAAGAAGTAGATAATGCCGTTGATGAGGCTGAAGCCACGCTTGGCCCCCAAAGCCTTGTGAATGGGATGTCCAATGTAGACAGTGGTTGAGTAGAAAGATCCAAACAATGCACCGATGCAAGTGCCAGCGCCATCCACAAGCATTGTCTCGGCCATAGGGTAATCATCGCCTGACTGTTCCCCCAAATCTTCAGGAGATATCGCTAGAATTCCCAGTCAGTCGCCTTAAAAACACTTGAAACTTGAAACCACCACAGGACTCGGCAGAATTGGAGCATCAAAATGCGGCTTGCCATGTGCGTCGCTTGCAAGGAACCCCGCCTGCTGCAGACGCACTCTCCACACAGCTCATGGTGCCGACGAAGCCTACCACACCAACCAGGAAGAGGGTGGTCATGAAGCTTCCGATATCTGCAAAACCGCCTGTCAAAGGAAACAGTTGTCAGGGCACATTACTCTCCCCTGGCCGGTGGTACTGTATGAGCATGGCACACCCATTCTTGCCCTGCCTAGTCCGACAAAGACAGAGTTTGCAAGAACATTCGGCTGAAAGGCGTAGGTATCCCAGGCAAGCTGAGCCTCTGACTGAGAAGTGCCTGTGCAAGTGACCTAGCAAGTTTCAGCTTCAAAGTTGTACACCAATGGACCAATGCACGACAAATTCAAGGTAAGCAGTCGATGAATTGTCCCTTCAATCTGGCACACACCCCTCGGCCCGACCTTGGTTGAATCGAAATATGGCAAGGTGTAGCCATACTTCATGGCACCTGTGCAATCGCAAGACAAAACGATGTTCGAACGATTTCGATGCACGTTGATTCGCAGTTTTAATCACTTTAGTTGTTGTGACAACTGGTACAAATGCGATGCAATACGCATGCGCCGCGCAGTTCCCCCCGCCGATTGTTCCAGATTCTCGCGCACATGCTCCAGACCAGCCGGCAATGACCGCTGCCAAAATTGCCATGAGCCCAATGGGGATGGTGAGCTTCCTGGAGTTTCATTTGCAAAACTGGACAAGATAAAGAAACACCCAATAAAACATTGTGATACAAGAAGCTGCTCTTTCAAGAGCTGAAGCAAAGATAAGCTGAGGCTCTTGTAGATGTGATATCGGACTCCACCAAAGAAGCCATTGAACACAATCAGCAATGGGATCAGGCACATCATTGGTTCTTGAGAGATTGCCAACATTGGCACAAATGCCAAGTAAACAAAGCCAACACCCATCATGGGGGCATAGAAAGCCGCCATGGGTGCCACTTTTCGAATACTCTCTCCAATAAAGGCCCCGAGCATCCTGATGTGACGCTTCATAAGCCAACCAAAGCTCTTCTATTTTTCTTCCTTTTTCTCATCTGACTCATCTCATTCTCGCTCTGCTCTATGAGCTCTTTATGGCTCTTGATTACTTTTTTGGGGAGCAAAGCCCGAAAGAAACCACACTTTTCTCCTCTAAACTTGCACTATCTTGCACCAAGTTGCTCGAAAAGACCCAACACGAAGTTGCAGGCCACCGAGATTTTCCAAGCATGGTCAGCAGCACTCACAGCTGCCGCGCGGATCGCATCGCTATCTGCTTCGGCAGCTGGTTGGAACATAAAGCCAGCAGAAATCAAAGCCTGGAAGAACATTGTGTAGACTTCCAGAGCTGGACTTCTCTGACTAGATTTTTCTCGTGAAAGCATTGGTCTATTCAAATCCTATGTCGTATATCAAACAAACAGTCAGCAAACAGCTTTCAATTTCCTGGCTGCATCTTTCCACAGCCTCCAGCTGGATTGCGAACAAAGTGATGTACACGCCGGTGGTATTGATGCCATAGGGCTGTGCAGTGACGTCATTCCGGCCTTCCTTGCTTCCCAAACGTCCACACTGCCAAGCATAGAAAAGGTTTCCAAGGAGCATCGCAAATGCACATCCTGGGATGTTGCGCGAGAAGTAAACCTTTTCCCATTCTTTGGCAATGGCTGTTCCGTAGCCGCCGGCGAAGGGAGGTAGGTTTCCCACAATGCCATAGCCAATTGTTCCCACACATGCGCCAGTCGTTCCAAGTAGAGATCCCAAGTTGTCCACAAAAAGCTCACACAGGGCTTCAGCCTCTCCCGTTCCGTTCCAGATGGTCACATCTGTGTTCCATCGAAGTGAAGTGCCCTTCCACCTGAGAGAACATGCCAACCACGTTTCGCGGAACCCGTCAACAGACATGCCAACCCTGACAAGGCAAAATTTGACTCGACAAGCTACCAGGTCAGTGGATTTTCGAAGAACTTTCTCTCTGGCTTGTCTTGGCGGGACAACTTGATCTCACTTGGGTCCGACATGAGTGTCTCAAAGCCTCTGTCTGAGCGCAGGCGCTGGAGCTTGAGAAAAGCTGCAGGATCAAACCATGAAACCAGAAAGGCCAAAAATTCCAAACGAAACACAACTGCGGCCCACCGAACGCCACCCCGTTCGTTCGCTTTCCAAAAGACATCGGTGGATCCACGGGGTGTCTTGGTGAGTTGGGTTTTCGTTCGTCTGAGAGCAGCTCCATGTTCTGTGCCAAAACCTTCCCGTCAAGCCTGGCGAACACGAGACACTTTGGAGCGGAAAATGAAGAAAGGACCATAATGGCCAGGTCTTGTTGTTCGCATGTTCGGGAAAAAGAGCAAGAACGTGGGTGTATCTGGGGGCCAGCGATTTGAATCAAAACAAAACACCGCGTGTCGTTCGATGTCGATGCCGAACACTTTTAGAAAGTGGCACCAGCCTGTACAAAAGTTGGCCGTCCATCCAGAAAGTGAGCTGGCCATCACCCTGAGTGCTCCATTCGAAGCGATAGACCTTGGACTTTTACCGAACATCGCCGGTTAAACAGATTTGACACAAATGGGTATCTTGGTGCGGAACTCATTCTTCGATCAAGACAACATCTCGAATGGGCGTCGCATTCGGAATGAGAAGTCGAACAACACGGTCGAGACAACTCCACCAGTTGGCCTTTGTCGTTCGTCAACACGGTTTGGAGACGTTTCTGCCGGAGGGCGTGGTGCTGACTGAAGGCATCCTCATCAAGGCCCGTCAAGGCACCGATGGAATCCACTTGGATCTCCACCTGGACATCGGACATCGATGGACACGGGATACGTAAGCGCGTATAGACGCGCATGGCGTGCCAGGTGTGGCTAGTGAGCAAAATGATGTGCTGGCTAGTGATATGCAAGGAGAAACATGGAGAAACTTGAGTTTGGATAGCTAGTAAGTTGGCCATCGCTACTAGGGTGGAGGCCATCGCTATCAGGTTGGAGCCACAGTTTGGTCGTAGCTGGCCACGTTCGACCGCTTCATAAGTGGGTTCCCGGCATCTGTCCAAGGGTTGATGTTCACAATGTACTTGCCTGGCACGCAACCCACGACGTGCACACTGCCCCAAACCAGGCAAGGCCCCTACGCTTTCAAACATGGCAGGGGGACCGTAGTTGTGATAATTGATGGTTGAACTGCTTCCATAGACCTTCAATGGCCAAACATGGTGCAAACCCATCTCATTGCATGCCTTCACGGCCCGGTTGGTCAGAGTGAAACACTTGATGTGTGAATTTGGCCCTGGCCATCGCATGCGATTTTCCATGGCATCGTTTTCCAAAAAAAGCGTTCTTTCTTTACGAAAAGCACCACCTCCCTTTCTTTACGGAAAGCGGCTCCAGGAACTTCTGGTCGTAAGCCATCATACCATTGAGTGCCCCATTCTGGGACCTCGGGCGTCGCATCGTTTTTTGCGTCGGTGGGATGCCCCGAACGTAGCGTCCGATCGCTCCGTTCGTAGCGATGCCCTTTGTTCCTAGTAGCTTCTTGCTCCTAGTAGTAAGGCCAAGAGCGTCCCTAGTAGGGTCCTGGGTGTGAGGCGCAAGTGGTATTGAGACGTGGAGGAGAAGGTGGCCGCTGATCGGCCAAAAATGGAATGCCAGGGGCCGCTTGCAAGGTATTCAGCCTCGGTGCAATGAATCTACGAGGACTTACGAGAGGTTCATGCCAATCCGTTCCTGTCCGTGCCGAATTTCGGCCGAACTCAGAAACGACTTCGAAGAACTTGAGTTTCCAGCAAATGCGGCCGAGGAATGTCCAACTTGCTATAGAGGATTTCTGTCTGGGGCTTGCAAATGCCCGTGTCAACCTCTCAGAAAATGATTTTAGTTACTAGAAGCGTTGGGAATCGTTTCACCTGTAACAATAAAGCTTTCTTGGGAAAGCTTTATTGCTACTCGTAGCGATGGCCTCCAACCTAATAGCGATGGTGTTAACCTCTCAGACTCGATTCTTCGAAGTAAATAAAGTTCTGCCGTCGTTTTCTTCGGTGCCTTCTCCTTTTTGTAGTTCGGAGCATGGTTGCCTGGCAGCACCTCCAGAATATCTATCTCCAAAGCCCCTCGGCCTGCGAAACCACTTGGTCTTCATGTCCTCACGTAATGACACGCCCTTCGCAACGACACGCCTTGATGTGGGTGCAGCCCGAAACGCTGCGTCCAATTGTCACCTAAACCTTACACCGAAAGTGGACCAAATATGCACGAACAGGAAGAAGCTACTAGGAACAAGGGCATCGCTACTAGGAGCAAGGACGCTACTAGGGGCTCCTGGCCTTACCACTAGGAGCAAGAAGCTATTAGGAACAAGAAGACATGAAGAATCCGCTTTCATTTGCCCTGGAACAAGGGACGCTACTAGGAGCAAAGGGCATCGCTACTAGGAGCACGGATGCTACTTGTTGCTCCTGGCCTTTCTACTGGGAACAAGAAACTATTAGGTTGGAGGCCGCCACTACACTAGGTTGGAAGTGATATTTTTCTCCCAGGTAACAAGAAGCCGCCATTGTGCTCAGGGCAGCGCATTCATTGATCCTCTGCTGCTTCGGAGGATCTTGATTGGCCTTCCAAGAACAAATCTTGATTGGTACGGGAACGGCCTTAACAAACCAAGACATTCTTGGAATGCCTTCATTGCACGCCAGCCTTTTCCAGATTTTCGGACGGACACTGCGAGTAGGTGAATGGCCATACCTCGTTGCCACTATCGGTCTCCGGAATTGGTCTGCAGTCTGTCTGCGGTGTCGGATGTGCTGTTGCACCCAACCCTGAGACACAAACGTTGTTGTTGGATGCCTCCACCGTCGCTCGCCTAGGAGAAGTGTCTGCTCGAGCCCCCAGTCAGATGTGGAGAATGGAGGAAATGACATCATGTAGACACAATTTATAGTTTCTGAAGGCACACCGGACCGGATTTGGACGAACGACTCCAAACAACATGCGCAAACATTTGGGCGCCTTCTCCTTTGTCACGTCTCGTTCTGTTTCGTTCTTTTCGGTCTCGGATCCCAAACCCGAGATTTCCCAAGAGCCAAAAGGCGGGCCAAAGTCCTGGGATGTCCTCAGCCACGTCTGAGTCGGTACGAACTGACTTGATGCGAACGACGAGGGATATGACTTGACCATGCCCGAAACGGACCAAAATGGACTACTAGCAATGTGCACTTGACTTGTTACTAGTAGCTTCTTACTAGTAGCTGCTTGCTACCTTGTGACTTGTAGGTAGCAAGCAGCTACTAGTAACAAGTGCATGACTTGTAGTTCGCAAGAAGCTACTAGTAACAAGCGCATGACTTGTAGGTAGCAAGCAGCTACTAGTAACAAGTGCATGACT